AACATTAAGATTCTAAGATCTTTGTCCATAATAGAGCTAAAACGATTCCAATCTGTGTGCTATCGGACGTCGGACGTCGGATGTCGTATGTCGGACGCCGGACTCAGTGTGAATCCTCCATTACCATATCTAAAAACAAATTTTGAAACGACTAAATTTGATTTAGTTCATTTTTTTCATGAAAAAATGCAGGCCATTGCATGCGAAACGTTGAGAAACTGTCACAACATAAAGAATAAGATAATGATGCGTTTTATTCGATTTCGACTTCGAATAGGGAATTCTGGGGGCCGTTTACCGAAAAAAAATATATAATAGTAAAACTATGGCGATGCATGCGACAATACGATAATTTACACTAAATATAATATAGTTATATCATTATGTATATGTATATATATTAAATACATATTATCATACCTTTTTTACTTAGTTTATTATTATTTCACTTATATGCATGTTTCAAAAAACGTATTATTCATTACTATATTTAAATAAATTCGGAGAGTGAGTGTAATTCAATCCAAATTGTCTGCTTTTTCGCGCTGGATCAGCAAGGGTTCCTATTGGGCGGCGCCATTTTGTGGACACAAGTTACGTGCACCAATCACGCGGACTCCCAAGAAGTCGGGTCTCTCTAGGGTCTCTACGGGCTACTAGATCGCAACGACAGCGGCGGCCAGACAATGAATTACAAAACGCGCCTTTAAGTACGGTTATAACGAGACAAATAAAGAACGCGATGCTGACTGGCGGGCAATAATGCTAAGACTCCATAGACGCGGAAACGATATGCGGAAAAGTGCGTTGACCAATCACAAATTTTGATTTTGTCGCAGGCGACTTGCGGCAGCCTTCTGATTGGTCAACGCACTCTGCCGCATGGCGTTTCCGCGTCTATGGAGTCTTAGCATAAATTTGTTGTACATATGTACATGCAAGCGAGCACGATAAATATGACCGAGTCTTATTATACCGTGATTTTAAATAACGTTTAGTCGAGTGTCTTTAAGCTACGGCATGAGACATTTTGATGATATTGGTGTTCGATTCCGGATGAATCATTCACCAATAAATCATTGATACAATTTTAACATTATTCACTTATGAATAAATGTTTAAATTGTATCAGATTTGAAAAAAACACATTTCAGGTTTGGTAAACATGGTAAAGAAAAAAGTACAATATAACATTATTATATAAAGAGCAGTTTATTCATTGGTCAATTTTGACAGTCTTTTTTACAACAAATTTTTTAGTTAATTTTAAGTTTTGTTGATGAGCGTGTTGCCTCATTCTTAACCGAACGTATAATAAACTAATGCGAAAGATAGTATGTCAGAAGCGTGCTCTTTGCACGGAAACGTAAAATCATACGTTGTAATAACGTCATCGAACGTTAAATCAAAAACATCCACATGATATGCATATTTTGCGAAGCATGCTTCTACGTGACGGATGAGATTAAAAAACCCAAGATTGGCGTGAATCAAGCCACCACGAGTTTTTATATCAATCAGTTTCGTTGCCGCGTTCGGTACTGAAGCTCGACTGCAGGAATCAATTTTCATCAGTTTTTGAAGTGAAACTTCTTTAGGCACGGTAGTAAGTTCGATTCGCGACACGAAAAAGTGTAACGGAAGTGAAACTTCTTTGGTACGGTAGTAAGTTCGATTGTGCGACACGAAAAGTGTAACAAAAATTTGACCAATAGGCGTACGGCGTTGGCGAGACGGTTCTTCTTCTGGCACGGTAGTAAGTTCGATTATGCGACACAAAAAGTGTAACAAAAATTTGACCAATAGGCGTACGAAATTAAACTTCTTTGGTACGGTATAGTAAGTTCGATTGTGCGACACGGAAAGTGTAACGAAAATTCGACCAATAGGCGTACGAAATAAAACTTCTTTGGTACGGTAGTAAGTTCGATTGTGCGACACGAAAAGTGTAACGAAAATTTGACCAATAGGCGTACGGCGTTGGCGAGACGGTTCTTCTTCTGGCACGGTAGTAAGTTCGATTATGAGACACGAAAAAGGTAACGAAAATTCGACCAATAGGCGTACGAAATTAAAGGACCACGCACTAATTATATGAAAAAAGTGGCCACCGTTAAAATCGACGAAAACTACGGAAAACTGTAGTTCGTGTGATGCCGATGAAAAGTTCAAATCCGCACAACCCTCAAAATATATTAGTTTTTAAGCTACGAGCTTATAAAGGTAATATTGGTGGTATAAAACGTACACATATTATACATAGTATACCCACTCTTAGCGTTACCCAAGATCAACCAGCGTGGAAGTGGTGAGTGTCTGATCTCCTTTCTTGTTCTTGTTTTTATTTTTTTAATATTTTTTATTTATTATTTAATATTTTTTTATCATTTTATATTTTTTGTTTTTTTTTCTTTTTATCTCATAGTGTTTTTCTATTGTTTCAAACTCCTTGATTTGCCAATTGTCAAAATATGCTATAATTGATAGTTTTTTATACCACGAATATTACCTTTATTAGGCTCGTGGTATAAAAAACTATCAATTATAGCATATTTTGACAATTGACAAATCAAGGTGTTTGAGACAATAGAAAAACATTATGAGATAAAAAAAAAAACAAAAAATATTAAATATTAAAAAAAATTAAAAATATTAAAAAAATAAAAGATATTAAAAAAATAAAAACAAGAACAAAAAAGGAGATCAGACACTCACCACCTCCACGCTGGTTGATCTTGGGTAACGCTAAGAGTGGGTATACTATGTATAATATGTGTACGTTTTATACCATCAATATTACCTTTATAGGCTCGTAGCTTAAAAACTAGCATATTTTGAGGGTTGTGCGGATTTGAACTTTTCATCGGCATCACACAAACTACAGTTTTCTGTAGTTTTCGTCGATTTTAACGGTGGCCACTTTTTTCATATAATTAGTGCGTGGTCCTTTGATAAGAGAATTAATAAACAATTTTTCTCGTCATTTTTAAATTTAAAAATTGACGAAGAGAAAAGTTGATAACACATTTACTATTCATCAAAGAATAATTCTTGTTTATATACTTACATATTTACAAATATTGATTTTGCATGAACTTTACATAATTTTTACATGATTTTTATATACATTAATATAAAACCCTATTGCTTTGGCAAAGTAAATATCACATATATTTTTCGACTTACTGTTCCTTCTTACTAAGATAATGATGCTTAATAAATCTACAACCTTGTGTAACTTGTGCGCCTTCATTGACAAAGTGGCAGGCAAATAGAAGCATGTTGCGTGGCTGCACCTTGATTGCAAATCTCATGAACATTGCTGAATATAAGCATAAAGCTGAAAAAGATTAGTCTTGAAAATGGACACCAAATGAATGAGATACATACTACGTTTACGCGAGCGTTACTTCTAGTAGTAACTTACGATAATTCCTTCGCGTAAACGGGATTTTGTAGTAACTTACGATAATTTACTCCGCGTAAACGGGTGAATTATCTAAGTTACTACAGAAGTAACGCTCGCGTAAACATAGTAACAGTTACAGAATTTCCAAGAGCTAGTCTCATCAACTCTTATAAATAATAATACTGTGGAACAAGATTCACAGTGAGTCCTTATTCTCTATTCCAAACATAAGTAAAAAACAAAACGTACAATATTACATAATAAGAATACCAACTACCAAGCGTTTTCACCTGATTAAATTGTTATAAATCTTATAGCTAGCATACATACAAAATAGATATTATAAATGTTGCAAACTAGCAGAAAATGTAAATTTTATATGCAACACAAAAAACAACTTAATAGCATATGTTTGGCTAACTCAAAAGGTACAAAAATTAGATAAAACAAAAGGTACAGAAATTAGATAAATACAAGAAGGATGTAAACCGAATTATTCAACCTAATCGTAAACACTCGTGGACAAGACAAAATGTAATGTATATAATAAAGATGTGTATAATCGAACTAACCAAAGGTCATTTTACCACTAATATACTTGGGATCCCTTTGGATGTCAGAGATGGCAGCTATCGGTATCGCCCAATTAGCAACAGGGCCCCAAAAGTGTGTGCTGAAAAAAGAAAACATTCTCGTTCGTATATATAATATCTGATGATCATGCATGTACGTACGCATCAGATATACACGACCTTCATAAGTAGTAATAGTTTAGTAGAGAACTATATAATCACTTGCCTCATAAAATAGTCACGAGTTTCTTTGCTCTTGAGGACTTTCATAAAACGGTTCATCTTGAATATTCGTATTTTCACAGCGAGAGCGAGAAATTGCTTACGTAAATAAATTCGACGGGTTTGGACCACGGTCGTGTTGGACTTCGCTTGGAATGCGATCTATGGCTGCAACAGGCTTGGAAACTCTAACATAAGCATAAGAGAATTGATTGGTCCATATGCATGTGCATAAGGAAATAAACCAATCCGTTTCTTTATGGGGTAATTCTACAGTTTAGCTACAGCAGCACAAAAAACGATGAATTTAAGCTCATTCGACGCGTTTTTGGACGAAACGAAAGAATCTGGCAGAAAAAAGTGTTGCTCTGCCCCGCGACGCGAGATATTAATCGTTAAAGTTGACAGGAATCAGGTTATGATTCCTGTCATACCGACGACATGTAGCAACACTGAACGTGCCCTGCGGCCATATGCGCATGCTCAGTGGTCGCACGCTCATGTAAAACTGCGCCAATTTTAAAGGAATCAATCGTGCAGAATAACCAAGCATCTCGATTCAAGCGATTAGGTCTCACGCTGGGAGTTTCATTAGTTTAATTATGCGTGGAAAGCACACACACACACACACACACACACACACACACACACACACACACACACACACACACACACACACACACACACAC